CACTGTTGTTTTCTTGATTTTGTTTTACATAAATGTTATCTAAACAATTAATATCTTAAAAATACAATTAAAATATTATTAACTTGTTTTCGATTGGATTTCAGCTTATCGCAAAATCACACGATTACTTTTTTACAGTTAAAATTAGTTACACGACCGGGTTTATTACAACGATTGATTAATTATTAAACACAAGAGTTTAATCAACGTTACAATTTACAAGCTAAATCAAAATAAATACCAATGAATATCTACTATTTTTAGTTTATATTATTGTTACACAATTGCGCATAATTTACATTAACCAAAACGATCAACACAGGTGTTGTCCACCATTTTTGCTTAAAATACAAAATTAATTAACGAGTCCCGCGAACCTTTACCGCATTATAATACTAACAGTCACGTTTTGCAAATATCAATTACCACACTATTGTTTCAGTTACATTTCATTATATAATAATAATATACATCACAACACCGTCATATACACCGGCCTAATACGAATATTTGTAGCCGTGTTTTTCGACAGGTTCGTAAGACTGAACGACATCGTAACCGGTGAGATACCGTCTTGTTGGTGGAATAATTATTTCTGCCGTGGGCGGCTTGTAGTACTGGTAACCATACGGAATGGGTTTGTAGGGCACATATGGGCTTATGTAGTGCACTTGACTGGAAACCGTCAATACAAACCACGACAACCAAACTAACAACTGTAACGAAACAAACAAAAAACATAATATTCTTAATAAATACAGAAAAATATAACGTTACAGTTTACAATTTACTATTTGGTAAATTATACATATACAACGACTGTAATGATGACACTGGCGTTATCTTGAGGTTTCCTACCCCAAAACCATCCTTGGCAATGATTGCAAAACTGCACCTAGTAATTACACTGAATATTAAAAATGCTATTGTTCGTTATTTGTACACTTGGAAAGCTTTCAAATTATTGTGGACCGCTTTGGTAGGTACCTAAATAAAAAATTAGAAATCAAAAGAACTTTATGAGCATAATTTTTTTTAAATAAAAACGTTTTGTCGTCTAGCCCGAAACTATTATATTTCTATTATAGAATATAATAGTATTAAGTTACAACAAAATATGTATTTTATAATTATCTTAAAAGTGTTGACTAACGAAGTAGAACTCACGCGTTAAGAACATATCATATTTTTGAGCCCCATAAAAATCTCTTTTATAAAAACATTTTTTTTTAATAATTCCGAACTTGAATCATTGAAAATGTTTGTTTTGCAATTTTATCAAATATTTTGATCCGCATTCAATTTCGCCGTCTTTAATTTTGTATACATCCGCTTCAAATCCCATGATGTTATATTATGTTTAATTTTATCTAGTGCCCCATCTCCATTTTTTTTTTATTGTCAAATTAGTTAAAATGAAATAATCCTAGTTTGACTGGGATATACTCAAATGAGTGCGGGTTATTTTTTTTTTATTGGCGCCAAAATATTAATTTAAAAAAATTACAATTAATTAATAAATAAGTTAGCGGCCCTAAAATCAACCGGCCTTCGGGATTTGCAACCGAACAAGGTAAGGCGGTCCTATTTTTAGTAATTATTTTGGTATACAATTTCTTTAAAATAATATTCAACCCGACTCGATAATACATTTTTGCATTACAATATTTGTTTATCATAAATATAATTAGATTAATATTTAAAGAAATAAAAAAATCATTTAGCGAAATAATCAATAACAATTAAACTAGGAGATTCGTGTCGTGATCAAGTTAAATTATGTACTCCGTTGTCGATTGAATCACGTGGTGCAGAAAGCTTACGTTTTACCTACCCTGACGGGCGATGACGGGGAAAATAAGTGGGGTAGAAACGTGACCGATAAACGTGGATAAAATAGTATAGACGTGTAGGTATTCCATAACAATCACATGTTTGAAAGCGTCATGAGATGTAGGGACTTAAGATTTGTTATTTTCTACGTCATCGGCGTCAAATTTTTTAACAAAAAATCTTCGTCAATTTTTCAATTTTTTTCTCGGGAATACAATTTTTTTTTACTCGTTGTAAAAACATAATTGATATTAATATATATATAATACATATAAATTAAAATTGGAACCTCCCTAAAAATCCTAATATATAACATGTGCTTGGGGTAGGTGAGTAATGTGAAAGACACTTCAGTTTAACAACCAGATTAAAAATTAATTAAGTAAAAAAAAAATGTCTTTAAAACAAGGTAAATAAAAACAAACAATTTTCTCTACAGTACTAAATGTATTGAACAAAAAAATGTTAAAAATATACAATTACCGTATTTTAAGATAAGTTTAAATTACAAGTTTTGATGAACATTTTAAAAGAATTTTGGATGTGTGAAATGTTTTGGAATTGTTGCATATTTATACTTTTTACAAATTAACGTGTAAATATTAATATTATTGAATTTGTCAAAATGCTAATTTTATTTAACAATTCATATTATTAAGGTTAGATCAAGTTTTCAATTTAATATTATATAATTGAAGCGGTTTGAAATATGTAAAATTAGCTTTGAACATATTAAGTAATATTATTTTTGTAATATAATGCTTTTCAGTTTAGGATATTAAATTTAGCATGATCAAAGCCAATTAGATGGTGTTAGGGCAGAACAAGAAAATATTTTCTTTTGGCTAATCGAGTTACCGTTTTAGCGTTTAAACTTTAATCTAACCTTTCATCAATTAAAAACAACTTTGTGCGTGTTGCCCAAACATAAATAATAGCTACCTTAAAAAATTGACAATAAAACCCAATTCTAAAATTGTAATTTAAACTTATCCCCTTCTGCCCAAACAGTATTCCAGTGTAATTTAAATTAATGTATATAATTGGATTGGTCTTACCGATCGAATAGAAACCATGTTCGATGATATTCGTCCTTCTACGACACCCCAACACGTTTTTATCGAGACTACTTGAGGAATATAATATGTAAAAAAAAAAGCAATAAGGCTTATATATAACCATCGAGCCTATTCCCCGCCCATCTCATGCGGTCTGCTCGTCATGTTGACGGTGCGATGATAGGTCCATCATTTTCGCATTACAATGCCGCCGTTATTATATTAATATATCCATCATGTACATATTATACTGTTTATTATCATCGTCATTATATTGTATACGCCATCTCCAACGCCGAAACATTAATTCCTTCGGGCTGATATTATAATAATAATATAATAATATATAATACATATAGAGGTACCCATAACTATGCAGCCAACGGCCAACGGATCATCAACCGACCGGTGGTTGTTATTATAATAGAGTAAACAAAGTGTACATTCGATTTAAGATAATAACAAAAATTAAATTGTCTGAAAACGCGGTTCTAATAACTATTTACGGCTTCCCACTAGCGTTCAATGGGATGACGGTCGCTTTGTATGGCCGATCCGGCTATAGCTGATACGCACGAATATCTAGTGAATATAATTAGTTTCGGAGCAGTTTTTATTTATTGCACAGGTCTGCCAGCAACAAAGAGCCGACCATCAACAATTTTATATTGCCCATATATAATGCCCTTGACTAAGGATAATGCACACACACACACATACACATATACACACACACACACATATATATATATATATATATATATATACATATTATACAAAAAAAGGATAACGTTTTTATGGTATATATATATATATATTATTAATAATGGCGTTTGAATTATTATTAAAGTTATAATATGTATATAAATACGTAATATACGAGGAGTTATTGAACCGAATCTCATAGATAAACCGCGTTATATCGCATAGAATACGTTTTCGGGTTATTTACCTTTAGTCCGATTCTCGTATCTCGTGTCTGCGGCCAAAAAGGAATATAATATAAATTATTATGGTCTGCGCTATTTTTAAGACCCTTTCAGGGATAATGCCGCTAGCCGCCCCATTATCTTTATTGAAAAATATCTTGGTTAGTCTTTAGAAAAAAATAAAAGAAACATCCCATCAAAGTCCTGTACTACTAGTGCGGTTACGTTGATATAATATACCTATACTGCAAAAACAATCGCCTGTGGTTGTTTATATGCTGTACTTAAGCGCCTGTGCTGGAGTACCAATTTGTCCCAGACAAAGGCACATCTCATTCACAGCTATGCCCACTGGTCCACAATAATATGTTGCCCCAGTTGAATTCATGTTCAATAACCACCGATTATCCCATTTGGGTGATCCTTTGCTTATGTCTTAAACCTTAGCATGAAAAAAATGTCTACATTTCTGTGGGTTAAAAACCGATAATTGTAAAATTGGATGTTTCTGGCTTCGATGAGAACCTTAAATGGCATTTGTTTGTAAGTTTTAAATATATGCAGTTGGTAAAAGTAGAAACAACAACATTTAATCATTATTAGTTATTCAAATAAATAATTTAAGTTTTATGCTGGAGCAGATACAAACTGACGACATTTTTAATATTAACTAGTATAAATTATATTATGATTTATGTAACAGTATACTGATAACAGGTTTCATACCTAAAAAGTAATGGGACGGGTCTTTAATTTTTAAATCCGTAATAAAACGAAATAGATAAAACACGTCGAATCTACTATTTAATACCCTTTGTAAAATGGCTCTTTCTTGTTTTAATATTAAAAAAGAAACAGTTTTAAGTAATAAAGTCACTGTTTTTAAATGTAAAAAAATAATTATATTTTCCATATTTACCCCACTATTGATTTGGAAAATTACAAGTTAAACCCTATCATAAATTTATAAGCAAAAGTAAACACTGTGCATTGTACAAATTTCTCAATAACACCTGGTAAACGTGGCGATTCAATTCTTTTGTTAATGGCGTTACACGTTAATTTATTTCTCTATGCTAACACAAAAACAAGATGGTTGAATAATAAATAGGTGTAAGATAAGATGTACATGATCCTGCAGTACGCTTTTCATCATCCCCACTTTGCCGTGCGCATATTTCATACTATAAGTATAAATTATGGTACAGAAAAATCAAACAAATCATTTGCCGAAAGAGTTGCTTGTCGATTAGTTTTACTGCCTATACAAAAAATAACATATCCCACACAAGTTCATCATGCATCCAACCGTAAGTAACACATACATTGAATTTAATTTAAATTTGTAACTAGTTTTATTTATATTTAGTTGTACTCATAACGATAATACTATATTATTAAGGCGCATTTAATTGCAACAGGAAAATTATAATAAATGTTCAAATTTTTAGTATAATTCTTTTGTACTCTAATAAATATAATTTGTTTATACTTTTGAATTGTTTGAATACAAAAATATTAACCGATTTTTTAATTCCAAATTTTGTGTTTATGACAGGCATTTTTATTTTATTGAAAATATATTGCCACACAATTATACAAATCCGAAAACCAATGCTAACGGTTAATTTTTATATTTTTATATAGTATCCCACCTTCGCAAAACAACACCCACGTCTAGAGAAATCTTTACATTTCACTCACGCGATAAAGCTGATAAATATTCCAATATTTTCATACTGCTTCTGATGTGTGTAAGTTGAAAACGACTTCGTAACAATGACCATAAAAAATAACAAGATTTCTTTTGAATTAGGAACAAAACGGTCAAATGAAATATAAGTTAACAACATAATATAACGATATTATCTTCTTGGCAATAGTCCCGAAGGCGTCGACATACGGTCAAATATTGTTATTTAATCTATTTCTCAACGAATCGAAACACACACACACACACAACAATTATCTGCACAAACGCCAAATAGTTTTTCATTATGTTCATTATGTAAAATGTTTACCATAATTTGTATAAAACCAAAACGAAAGTATATTTTGGTTAGTTACCACCGACAACTTGCCTCATTATTATAATTGAAATTAACTTATGGTTTTAATTAGTGGCAAAAAATGATTTAAATTTAAAATTATATTTTAAATATACTTTGCGAATAATTGTTTTTGTTTAAAAACCAATCAAACTATATTTTATTAATTAATGTAAATATATAAATTTGTACAGAAACGTTAATTTAGGAACTCTTAATTTATAAACAGCTTATTCAATTCACTTCCTGTATAGTTTCACTAAAAGCGTTTATCCAGTCGATACTATATTTTAAGGCTAACAAATATCAATGTACTAATAATGTAATCAGTTGTAAATAACTTTTATTAATTTATTATACTAACACGTCTGGTTATACTACTAGTAGTCATTACTATTTTGTATTGTTACTTTATTTTATTAACAAGGTATCTATCATTATAATGACTTAGAAGTTATATTATTGTAGAAACCGACTATTTCACATGTGATTTCCTATACTTATTACTATTTTCATTATTATTATAATATTTTTTGGTAATAGAATTCCGTGGCTGATTGGGAAGAAGAATTGTAGAAATTTAGTTTTTTTTTTAAATATTTTATATAACTATATATTAAAATTATTATTATTTATCATATAACAGTACTATTATACTATTATAGGGACCGGTCGATGCTCCGTTAATAAAAATAATGATTCAATATCATAATTATTTTTAATAAAGCAACGAAGGGTCTTACCTTTTCTAAGTCAGTTTATTAACTTATTAGTTATCAATGCATCCCAGTTGACAAAGTATATTTCAAAACATTTATTGTAAAACATACTTTGTAATACATTATTTTTATAGTGTTTTTTTTCGGTCAGAAATTTAATGCCTTACAAATTTTGATTGCAACGTGTTATTTAAATGAATTGAGTTTTTTAGTTTATTATAAAAAGAAGTCAATTGGTGTAATATTGATAAAACGAAAGCGCCGAAGTTAAAATTCAGAAAATTAGTTGGTCGGATATTTCTGTTCAATTACATTACCATAAAATATAAGATCAAAAACAAAACTATTTAGTAGTTTTTTTTTTAACTTTCGTGCGAAGCTGAGAATGTTTTAATAATTTGAACTGCTTTTCTTTGGTCAATATTAAGCAGATTAACATAAACAGAAGGCCAGAATTTTATGGTAGTCGACCAAGGTAGATATTGAGCTAATGTCGAATAACATATTTTTATTTCCAAAAATTCCTAAACGTTAATAATCTTCGATGATCCAAATTCTAGTTTCTACATACATTTAACTACACAATACCATAGCGATTTATCTGTTTTTGATATTACAGGTGTTGAAACTGACTTTGGCGTCGAGCGCGTTACTGGTGCTCGCCGCCGCAGCCCCGCAGACGGCCGAGTTGAAGCCGCTGGTGACGCAATTGAATCCTGAAGCCAGGGCGTATGCGGCCGCTTACCCTTATAGCGCGCCAGCGGCCGTGGCCGTGCCCGCCGTTCCAGCCGCCCAAGTCGGCACGGCCATCACCAAGACGGTCCACTACGCGGACACGCCGACTGTAGTGGGATATGCGCCCACCGTGTACAAACCGGACCTATCCGCGTTCGCCGCCGCCTCCTTTCCGCAAGTCGAGCAACTCCGCCGTTTCAATCCCGGCGTCCGTTCCGTGAACGCGGTCGTCCCGAAAGTGACCGCCGTCGAACCGTCGGTGATCGTCCAGAAAGTGCCGTACGAGGTGCCCTTGCCCGTGCCCGTCGAATACAGGCCGCCGTTCACCGTGGTCACCAACGACGTCGTCTCGTCGCCCTATTACTATTCATACATTCACGACCGCAAATAAGCTCTACGACGTGTGTCTCGACTCTGACTGTAACTAGACAATTATTTTGAAGAACGAGCGGAGACCTCAATGTTCGACTCGTGTATTTTTTATTTTCGTTTACATTATAAGTAGAATTAAAAAAAAAAAAACACTTTAACGTAGGTTGCACAATAATGTACTTGTATTTTACAAAAACACAAAATATTTATTTATTTTTATATTATGTACATTTAATATAAATTATATTGAATTTATATTACATCGTTTTCTTTTTCTTGTCAATTGTCGGTTGCCGATCTCAAAGGTAAGCGGGTAAGGCAGCGTACGGCGCAAAGTACGGGGACGGCGCGTAAGCTGCAGGTGCTGCGGCATAAGCTGCCGGGGCGTAAGCTGGCGCCGCTGCGTATGCCGCAGGAGCGTAAGCGGGTGCCGCTGCGTAAGCTGCCCTTGCGTAGTAAGGTGCAACGGCTGGTGCAACGGCCGGGACCAGAGGGGTGGCCACTGAGTGAGCAACGCTGTGTGAAGTGAACGAGCTAGCGTATGGAGCTACAGCCACTGGAGCGATGGCGGCGGGCAACACCGATGGGGCCGGTGCAGCAGATGTGTTCAGTACAGCGACTAACATAGTGGCAGTGGCCAATACCTGAAAGGAAATGATATGTTAAAAAATAATAAACATGTAAATTATTAGACCGGGTGATTAGTGTATTTTTCTAAAATTATTTTTAGGTTACACGAGGGTGTGTTTTTTTGGAAATTAATTTAAACTATATTGATTCATTGTCATACATAAGTTCCATTATAGAAAGAGGTCGTAAAATACAAAATTAAGTGACAATAAAAAAAAAAGTCACAATTAAACTCTATATATATTTATAGGTTATGTTTGAAAAACTTTTAAGCTATCTAACTTTACATGCTTAAGTAGTATAATACGAATTAATTAAGTACAATTATCATCGTGCAAAAAAACAAAATGCAATTAAAAAATTACATTTTAATAGTCAATTAACATAACTCTACATTGTATAAATATAATTTAAAAACCCTAAAACTTATTATTGCTTTTAAGTTTGCATTTTTATACATCTCAAGAGCTTCATAGCGCTTAATAATAAATATATCTCTGTTTCTAATGTTGTACTTACGATTTTAAGTGTAGCAATCATCTTGAATGTTTGGTTTGGTGTTTGGTGGTGAACTGAGAGTCGGTTTTAGATCACTGTAGTCGACGAATGTGACGAATGAACGAAATTGACAATATTTATACAGATCGAAATACAGGTAAAAATCCAATTGGCCACCCACTACAAAGTTGCCCTTTATTATTGTAGACCAGAGGGAGTAGGCAAGTTGGCAATGTTGCAATTCCAAACACAATGCAGTATTGTACAACTGACCAACTTGCCATCCTGAATATTAAACTGCAATTAGGTTATTAATAAAAATTCTGAATGCGACAACCGACATTGCGTTTGAGGTCTATTAGATATCACGTTAAGTAGCTGTACCATAGATTGTCAAACAGTTAAGCTGTTTAAAATACCGACCTTGGTCCTTGTCCGAGTAGCCTGCATACCAAATGAGTACAACAAAAATATATTGAAACATTGTCCTCAGCGTTAAATAATATAATTAAAAAATATAGTAAAATATTAATAATTTTTTTTAAGGAAATTATTAGTTTAACATAAAATAGTTTTGTACATATTGGATTGAATCGACGGCTGATTTTGTCAGATAGGGAAGTGAAGAGGATGCTGATATGGTGATTGACCTCATACAAGGTGATCCATATGATGTAAGACGTTAATTTTCTCAGAAAATATGAATATTTTGAAAATAGTGTTTTTCCTATACTTGTAAGTAAATATTTTACCATATTTTTCAATACGATAAACATTTTTACCTTCAACCCTTGTCCCTTGTACGTAAAACAAGTATAGCGCTCGTTTTTTTAAATGGGAACGTATGTTTTTAATTTCAATTATATGTAGACAAAAAATTAAAAAAAATTAATTTTTATCAATCTGTTTGTTTGCTATGACTTTACTAATATGTTACATTACCTCTTATAATTATCATATGTCTTCGGTTTCCCATGTTCCAGTAGCCCATACATTTCTCATTTATATCCGCATTGTCCGATTGGCGAGAACACCAATAACCAGACACAATGAAATGTTTTGAGATAATGATAGACAAGTGGACCTTATCTAACCTGTTCAAACACAGAAACGATGACAGTGTTATCGACGTGGTCAATATTGTTATTTAATGGAAAACTGTTGTAAAAAGTAAAAACCGAACGAATATTGATCTTAAGTTCAAATCTTTACAATACCATAACAAACAATGAGATTGATGAAAATTAAAAATTCAAACCCTAAAAATGTTTACCTATATATTTATTGAACTATTTATTAAACAAGTTAAAATATGTATGTTAAATATAAAATATATTAAAATATGTTAAACAAATATGTCAAATTATGTTTAAAAATATGTTAAAATATATTAAATATGTTCCCATTTGAAAAAACGAAGTTCATACTTCTTTTACGTACAAGCGATGAGGGTAAAAATGTTGTATTGAAAAATATAGTAAAACATTAAACATGTACCTAAAAGTATAGGGAAAAAATTATTTTCAAAATGTTAATATTTTCCGAGAAACTGAGTATGTAAATTGGTGTCTAAATCAAAAATCAAATTTTTTTAAAACTAGAATTTAGTATATCATAATAATAATAGTGTTGAAGATCCAGAATTCAGATTATTATAATATTATGCAGTGAAAATTAAAATGAACATATTATGTTTTGTATGCAAATTTATTTAGATGATATTATCAAGATTGAAATTATTATACCTAATCTAAATTGATAAAACGCACAAAATAAGTAAGTGGACAAATCCGTAGGCTTGAACTTGTGTCGAATCTCTTCTCTAGAGACCTAGTCTAAAACGATGAAAATGCTCTAGTATCGTAGAATGGTCTGATTTCGATTTTGTTTTTGTGTTGTTTGAAAGGGGGAGACTTTCTTCAGTGGGGGATTAGATTTTGATTTTCAAAAGTCAATTTCAGAATGCTATTGTAAGAGTTGTATAAGACCAACATTTTTACTTTTTTTACTACTATATTGTCAACGTATTTATCTTAAAGTAGTTTTTTACCATCAAAATGGCTATTATTTGGAGAAAAATCGTATTCATTAAAATAATATCCGCTGAAGCGCATACGAATTAACATGACTGTAAATATTGGTATAGCCAGAATCTATTAAACCGGGTTCTCTCAAGTATTGTTTATGATAAATAGTAATAATTTCGTTTTATTTCATTAAACATTTTAGAATGATATAATACTTAAAAACCAACTTAAACCTAAAGAAAATTTATCCACTAAATGGCAGGACTTCTTTTTTTTGGAATCAGCATATTTAAAAGTATAATGGGCTTCTTCTTGAAATAATGAATGAATTGTTAGGTTAAGTTTTTCCAATCCTATACGTCTCATACATAGTTAGTTCTCACTATAGTCACACTAACTCGCTACATGAAGTTATATTTTGCTCGCCAGAAACCTAAACCATGTAAGGTCCTCCATCGAGCTGAATTATGTTAGACCCAACTCAGTCGTTAGCAAAGCATATTATGTATTACAACACGTTATATTTATATTCTACTTGGCAACGTCAAATCTCATTATGCGTGCCCTATAAAAAAAATGTCGGTAGGTACCTCCAACATCGTTCGTACAAAAGTTGAATTGTTTATAGCATTCGTGCGATTATTATTTAGTATGAGATCCTTATCGATGGCCATATCGTTTCAATTATAATATGCGCAAGGTTAATTACTTACTATTGTTACACAAATGATGTTAATATCTAATATTGCAAGAGTATTGGTTTATAGACTGGACTCGTGCTAAATCGAATTGGCAACCGTCCGGTAACCCTTGTGTGTTTCGACACCAGAGAGAAATTATTGTACTTGGAAAATGATCGGCCAGAATGACACAACAGTCAGATGAGCACTCGCTGCACTCGAGTGGGCGTACCGCCAAAACAATTTGACACTGGGGGCAACGTGATTACCTTACAAATCACAGATACTTGTATGTGTAACACCGTGATTATGATATGATAATGTCATTTATGTGTTGAGTAACACCTACCGGGGCGAACAGAGTCGGACACGTCCAACAAATTTAGCCGAAGTTAGCCGTATTATAAAATGGCCAACTGCAATGTTGTTAGTGTCAGTCGTCGTTCAATCAGCAAATCAAATTCACCAAAAACCACTCGCCGAGCCACGCAAAATCACTCAAAATGAGCATCAAAATGGTAACATTTCATTATATAACATTATATAACTCTAACTACTATTGAATAGGGGCGGCTTTCGAAATCCGGGTTAATTAATATGCAAACAAATTGTAACTAAAATTAGTATTAACAATGGTTAGAATACCGTTTTTGAACACTACAGAACGCATTTAACTCAGGTTTTTTTTAATATTTAACTGCTATGCGTCGAAATAAGTGTTTTAATTTTCCATTTTCGTTTTGATTTTTTAACCTTTCATTTTTGTGATTATAAGATTTAAATAAAAAATCTAAGCACAATGCGTCCTGTAGCGACGACAAGTAGTTTCTCATTTGATTTTTATTCTCACTTAGCTTTAAGTCAAAATTACCCGTTAAATACTTATACGGTTAAATTCTATTATAGTCAATTCCTTCAGTTTGTTAACAAGTGGTTTTATACGTTCTGGTACGTCACTCATATGTTACAACATAAATCGTATCAATGTAATAGACCCACGGCCAGGTTACAATAAATTAACGATAATGATGAAATTTTCTTTGCTGTATTAATACATTATCCCTTATTTTACTTGTTGTTGACGCCACTCCCAAACTTCCTCATACAACGCATTTACCTACTTATTCCTTATTTTGTCTAGCCAAATGATAGTGCTAAAAAATTTAAACTGCATATACCGGCTATTGACCAGCCTATTTGCCGTTAATACATATCACGGCTTAATTATCATTTAAAAATGATTACAATACGTTATTACTGTTTCAGTGTTTGTTCGCTGTCGCCGTTTGCAGTTTGGCCGCCGTATCAATGAGCGCTCCTTCAGGCGTCGCTTTACCCCTTGCCGCTGCTCCCGTTGTTCCTGTAGCCGCTCCAGCCCCAGTGGTCACCGCTTACAGTTCCCAGTACGTGGCCAGGAACTACAACGGTGTCGTTGCCGCTCCGGCCGTCGTTCCTGCTGCGGCCTACGTGGGTTATCCGCCCGTGTACGCGCCCGCCGCGGCCTATCCCGGTCCGGTGGTCGAAGATTTCCTGTTCTAATGGCTCTTAACCACAACTTCCTCGTTTACATAATACATATTATACTATAACGCTATTACCGTTGTGTGCTTACACACAACAACTGCAATTGTCTGTACTTTCTCATTCGGAACTATTGTAAAATAATAAAAAAAACATTTTATAATTTTGAACAAAACAAATTTGTTTTTAATTTATTAGTAGTGAAACAAGTCGATAAAACGACAATTTATAATGTACATAACATAGGATTATATGGTTCGTACTGAATCAATGAGAGGGAAGTGGGAACTGTTTCCCTGTGACATACGGTGATCGTGTGAAGTCTTTTGAGTTTCACGTGAATAGCAATGTCACTTGCGCCTCATCTCTAAACTCCTATAGGAAGTAATACTCATTGGATTTTGTTCGAAGAACTCAATAACAAGGTTGTATTTTTTATTTTTACTAAATACTAATTTAATCTATATGCCCTAAAGGCTATATTAATGAAACAAGTGTATATAAACATTGAATATCGATGAAAAACGGGACTCTATTCACTTAAAAAACAGTCTATTGTTAGCTGGTGATTATTTATCTAATACAGTTATAATACCGTAATATAATACTAGCCGTTGGCTAATTTAAGTAGTACATTATTATATCGTGAATAGATCTATGTACAAATTCGTCATTGTAATAAATAATCCTGGAATAAATCATTAAAATTACTGATCAATCAGATGGGACAAGGCGGCTCATCTGCCCAACGTCTGTTCAAACCTTACATTAAAAAAGACCAAACGGTTATCATTTAGCAATATATTTATTAATTAAAAATTGTAGTATCATTATAAACCGCTCTGGTCAAAATAAACTTTATTGCCCTTGCAACAGTTGTAATAACACTTACTAGACATTTGTTTTTGATATATATATATATATAGCTTAATTTGATACAATAATTGTCGTTTAACGGTTACAATGCTCATTAACTGTAACAAAAGGCACGGAAGTCAACCAACTAATTAATACATGTATGTTAATTAATGTTATCTTACAAAGCGTATACGCTTATGAAATTCCAATGGCTTCATTTTAGTCTGACTTCTACACAAGTCCAATAAATCATTAAGGGCAGAAACAATAGGTTCTTTCGTGGGTCTATTATAGGATTCGATATATAAAAAGCTTTAAGACGTTTTAACGTAAATGAGTGTAGTGTTTTAACTAAAAACAACAATTCCTCCAAATTCTTTATGTAAGATTGTATAGCACAAAAAATGCAATAAGTATCATTCATCTTTAAGTACTGTTTAATGTCTATAACACAACAATACACATTATATTATTCTAACACTATCTCAATTAATTGTCGTTAGTAAATTTATATACTAAAGATTTAAGAACATACGTGTTTCTGTAGATTAAAATATTATGAATGACCTTGAGAATACCATCAAATGCGAAGAACATATCGTTGTCTTATATAGCATATTAATATTATAAAAACCAAGAAGTTACCCTAACAGCCAAAAATAAATTAAATTTTTACTGACCTTCTCAAATTTTCTACGTACTATTTAAAACCAAGTATAGCCTAACGCTCTCTTAAAAATTATCTTTTAACTGTAATTCATTGAATTATTTGGATTTCGCTTTCGAACAGATTTCTATGTTTCGGTTCGTGGTGATATTTATAAGGGTCATGTTTCCTACTGTGTTATAGTTATATTATGTATCATTGTAAATATGAATGTAGTAAATAATAATAACAATAATAAAATATACTTGAAGTAAGGCATTTCATTTTAGTTCAGTAAATAATAGTTAGCATTAGAGCAGCAAAGCGATTATTTTTTGTATGATACATCTGTACGGTATCCATATTATTATGTATAATACAGGGGCTATAATATAGTATGTTAAGGTGAAGCTACACGCGTAGTTGCATGCTTGAGCGTCTGTAAGCATGATGATGATTTTGTGTAAGCATCGTGAATGTACAATTCGCTTAAGAAATGTATAGTTTAATAATTTATTGTATCTATTCATAAAATACAAACCATTTTTTTCTTGACAAATGAGCAGTTCGCTTTTTTAGGGTCGTTTTGTTTAATCGTATTTTTATGTAAAGATTATATTAAATTTGACACAGATCTGAGCAATTACAAGGCAAAGAAAAGGTTAGGTTAGGTTATGTAGTCAAGCGATCAATACTTCTAGTAATTTTGTAGTTTTTTTTACACTATTAGACAATATTCAAATTTTTATATTTTTTTCCAGTGCTCTATTAACTTTTAAAACGTAAATGGTAATATTTAGATTTAATTAACTTATAAAATTATAAATAATTTGCTGAAAGTCTTTATTGGTCGATAACCTAGTTTGGATACCTTTAAAGTCAACACTAGTTCAACTCGTAATTTTTTTTTTATTATAAATTATTTTAAACATTAAAATTGATAAAAATTAAACCATGTATAAGGTATACTTTTAAAAAAACAACTAGAATATCTGAATTTAATAATTAATGAAGTCCATGATCTTTTAAATTTTATTATCGTTTTGTAAAATAAAAATAATGTAATTTATTTTTGATCCATATAATTATGTATATACTTGTACTCGTACATTTTTCTTATTAAAAAAATCTACCGATTAATTTCGTAAAATTTATCTGCAAAAAAATACAGAATTCTTACATCGTTGCCTTTTTAAAGAGCTTACCGTGTAGATGACAATAGTACTTCATTAAATAATGTTTATACTGCTTCAAATACGATAATCATTGACAACCATAATTTTTATCAAATTAAATGTCGGTCCATTAAATGTTTAACATTTAAAATGGTCACTTAGAGTTTTACAAACTCATTCCAATATTAGTCAACTTTGACGAACATAAATATATAAAAATATATTCATACGCCCAAAGGGCGTATGAAACAAAATAAGAAATATAACAAAAGAACAAACAAGACACGTATTTTACATAATATTTTAATTGTTTATTGATTGTGTTTAAATGTAAATTATTATAATATCATACTCACACAAAGAATAGATTCATTTTATTTAGATAGGCATATCTGAATAAATATTTATAAATTATACATATTTTTAATGTTTTAATGTAGGTAACACACTTTGAAATTTCTAATGTATAAATTTGTTTGAAAGTCATACTGTTTTATGATTTTTAAAATTCGTCCTCAAACACACACACACGTTTATAAAATAAATAAAGATACATGTTATAATTTTTATTCTTCAGTACTAAAAATCTCTCTATATATTTAATTCAGAGTTTAATGTACTCACTTGAAAGGGCATTATCAATTAAAACGTTTATATTACTGAATAATTCACGATACTTTTGTTGAAATTATAATGATTCTTAAAACTGTTACGAAATGTCAAATGGTATATAACGAACTATGTGTTCGTGAAAAAAGCAATGGCGGTATTTAACTGATAGTCGAGGTCCGATAGTGTTCCAAAGAAGAGGCGATAGAACAGCAGGCCGAGCTCACATTTTGAAGACGGGTACTCTGGACGTGATGCCAGACATGCCGGTAACGTAAGTGAAACGGACGGGTGGCCGGAGGATGGACTTGACCTTTTTTCTCGGTTTCTCCTTTTTCTCGTCCAGCTGCAGCCCGTCGAAGATCATCCGCAATTTCTTGAACCACTTGCCCCGGCCCGCGCCGCGTTCCTTGCCCTTGCCTTTGCCCGTGGAGTCTACCGACTTGGAACCACTGCTGCTAGAGCCGCTGCCGCTGCCACTGCCCGTGTCGCTGTTGCCCGCCATCTCCGTGTCCCAGGCCGTGGAACCGTCGCCGTACTCTCCACGGTATTCCGACTTGGAACCATTAGAGCTGCTGCCGCCGCTGTAGCCTACGCTGTCTGTGTCGCTGTTGCCCGCGTTTTCCGCGTCCCAGGCCGTGGGACCGTCGTCCTCGTCGCTGTCTAGGCTGCTATTGTCCTGGGCTTCTTCGTCGTCGTAGAGCACACGGCTGGCCGCGTACTTGTACTTCACGTTCAGTGGGTCGTCCTTAAAAAACGGCATGTCTATTACGAATGACGCTACACGATAGTGTGTAGTTTAAGGTAAATCAAAGTATTGCACTACGGTTATGGTTTTTTTTTTCGCGTTTTAACTGATGTCTAAGAAATTGTTATGATCAATCGGCAACATCGGAATGAACACTGGACCCCTAGACGGTGTAAGAGCCGGTTATATACCGTCGACGGCATCACCTCATAAACGTGAACACGTGATAGCATTTGCAACGGCGCCACCACCTTCCGTGGATATGCGGGCACGGCGCGGCAGTGTGGTGCTGAGGGACGGCTTTTGCTCTGTCAGAAGGTGGCAGAAGTCACGCGGCAACTCTGGGAGGTTATTTATGGGTATTCAATTAGCACATGGTGTTTTGCATACCGTCACAAAACGCCATTGTTTTATGGCTTAGGTTGTTCAATTAAAATCATTTCTCAACGTGATCTTGTAAATTATATACATTGTATATTTATATCACATGACACCATGCGCCATTGTCATAAGTTAAAAACAGCGCCGCTATTTAGTAGCCGTATGTACCAAAGTATAACGTTTTTACTCAAGAAATTTTAACGAGAAGTTGATATGTAAAAAGTAAAACTATTTTTGATATCCGAAAATAATACAATTGATCTATAGGTTCAATGAGACGTGAAGCATCAATCTTGCCTCGTGCGAGCTTAAGAATTGTAGGTAGTGTTTTGTTTTCTGTTTACTAATGGAAAAATCCCTTGATGATTGATTTCTAGAACCCAGGGACTTATTTAGAGTTTCAGAGCCCCTAGCCTATCAGCTCTTCGCCGCCCCTTTAAAAGTTCAGAATGTTATTTATTTTATATGTTTATAAGGAAAAAATACCACAAGTTAATTATTGATATTAATTTCATGTAGATTCCTCATTGGTATATTGTAGTTAGCCTATACCTAAATCTGTCCCTGCAAGAAACTGTGTCAGAGGTAGACTATCTTAATAATTAGTACATTTTATCGTAATTCGAGCTCTACTAAAGGACATTAACTTACACTTTTCAGAGAAGAGACAATCCCATAGTACTATACCAATAATTCACTCATAGGTCACTAAAGCAATTAATCGCACATTTGCCTTTGCAGCTCGGTGCAGTAGTGAAGCATTTTAATGGGTTTTTGAAAAAAATAAACAGTAAACATTATTTTTTTAGAACTCCGTGTTATATACAAGGTGTTTCAGAAAGATATGACAAATTAAATAATTTTTGTTGTAGTGAATATTTTGAAGACTATTTTTTTTTAAATTAATATTTTATACTCATTTGCGCTATTAAAAGTGTTTATAGCGCAAATGAGTGTAAATTAATTTTAAAAAAATAATCTTGAAAATATTCACTAGAACAAAAGCTATTTCATTTGTCATATCTTTGTGAAACACCCCCTGTATTGTGTACAATTTAACCAACTTCATTATATAACGGGATATAGGAAAAAATAGGCCGCGTGTACACTAATAAGTAAATTAAATGAAGGCAGTATTCAAAATATTTATTATTATTATTATTAGGTACTTAATTATATTTTTATCACAATTTTATTATTGCCTATACGTAACCGAACAACATACGAAATTAAACTACATTGGGTTGTGTTGGTCAATGGTGATGGGTTTTTAGAACTTATGACTTGATTCGGAAATGGGTGGAATGGATTCTCAAAAAATGGTATCAATTTCGGTATAGTTAGGTTAGGTTGGTATTAGTACTAATATACTACTAGTATATATAAAGTACCACGGCAAGACTACTATGTACATATTATGAGACACAAATGTCAAATCTTCTAATAATGTTAATGTTTATTAAATATAGATCATACTTACCATGTACAATAATTTAAATGTTATACTAGTTGAATGATTTTTTTCTTTAAATAATATATATATATATATATATATTCTGTATCATCGTTATTTGACAAATTAGTATAATATATACAATTCTGTTAGATCATCATGATATACACACCCTAATCCCTATATATATATATATATATAATGTTTTACTAGTTAAAAACATAAATATTTCGATTAGTTTGGTTAGATATTATAGCCTAGGAACCATATAGTGTCATGTACTTTTTGTATAATATATTTACATGTGTCAATTTTAAAGTGTAGTAGCTTGTAGCAATTACCCCCACACACATTGTTTACTAACAAATTTGAATTAAAACAAATGGTTAACAGTAGATCCGAAGACTTATATGTAGGTAAAGTCCATCCAATTATAAATACTTATAACGAACTGGTAACAGACTGTATGACTGAATATTCGTGCAAACAAAAGTAATTACTATTATTTTTGTTTATAGTTTTTAATTGTCCAAAATAATTGTTAGTTTGCTAAGCTATAACAATTAACATATATTTAATTTACCTTATTTACGATGTTATGCCTGTGTATAACAAGTACATACAATGTATTACCTTATTTATTTGAATTGAATAATTAATTATTATTATGCTAAACGACTGTACCAACTTATTTTTTATCATTATTCTTACAGAAATACCATTATATTAAAGGATAATAATATTTTTTAACAAATAGAAAGAAAAACACACACCATGTTTCACATGTTAAATAATATATATTTTATTTTTGCAATCGCACTGTGAACAGCATTAATATCAAAAACACACAAGGAATAGCAGTAGGGGTACATATATGTGTAATATTAATATATAAAGCACACACTTCCGAATGGCATAAATATTTTAGAAGCCACACTACTCTACTTGTTTTCAACTAGCTCACAAAAATATAAATATATATTAATAATAAGATAAATTTAAGAATATATAATCGAATAATCGTTATTGATAGAATGGTTTTTTTTGTTAGCTACAATAAATATTAGTTTTTAATAATAGCGGACACCCCCTCCCCATAAAATTGTATGATAATTCATTTTCACATTAATATTAATGTCATTATATTTTAAAAAGTTTTTGCATTCTATTTATAATCTAATAGACAAAATGTTATTTTAAATCATAAAAACAAAGGTAACAATTATAATTTTAACAAAATAACTGTTATGTTCTTATTATAATATGTATCACATGTTTTGGTAATCTAAATTATACATAAATAATTTCTTCAAACCGTTTAAGAATCATGGGTTTAATCAATATTGAAAATATTAGTAAGGGTTAAATTAAATATAATAAATAATAATATTGATAACATGCGATATTAATTAAAGTAATTATTACAGGTTAAAATCAATACCGTGTATTTTTACATAAAACAGAATACAATGAGAACAAAGCATATAGTATCAACTATCAGAGCAGTCTCAGATCTGTATTTATAAAGAAATGGGTAAAAAAAAATTGTTCTAAAACCATGTTGGTTTTTTAAAAACATTTATTATAAATTGATTTGGGAGAGGAGGAAATGTCCGAGTTTGACCAATAGTAGACATACATTTATTTATTTTTATTTAACTTCAGTATTGAAAATCTCTCTCTGTATATATAATATATAATATATAAATTAACTTTATAATAATTAGTTAGTTAATAAAGTAGTACCTTAAGAAAATACCATTAATCATGTCTCCTATTTACTTATAGGTACTATGTTATTATTTTGAAAATTAAACTGGTATCACACTGTTGAAATCATCATCTAAAGTCAATAATCTACACTAAAATCTAGATGTTCAACTAAACACTATATAGAATATTAGGTGACGCTTAGATAAATTGGAGAGTAAAATTTAAATCACTGTCGAGTGGATATAATATTAATTAATTAAGAATATACGGTTTTTAGAATAATTTAGGGTGATTAATTTTATTAATTATTAATTACCACTAGTGTGCGAATTGTTAACCTGCTACGAAATGACAAATTGCTTATGATGAACTATACTGTGTTCGGGATGTTTATGCGAATCGATTGTTGCCTGTGACGTTATGAAGTTCCTGTTGACGCAATGACGGTATTTATCTGGTAGACGGGGTCCGATGGTGTTCCAAAGAAAAGGCGATAGAACAGCAGGCCGAGCTCACATTCTGAAGACGGGTACTCTGGACGTGATGCCAGACATACCGACGACGTAAGTGTATTGGACGGGTGGCCGGAGGATGGACTTGACCTTTTTTCTCGGTTTCTCCTTTTTCTCGTCCACCTGCAGCCGGTCGAAGATCATCCGCAATTTCTTGAACCACTTGCCCCGGCCCGCGCCGCGTTCTTTGCCCTTGCCCGTGGAGTCTACCGACTTGGAACCACTTGTGCTGCCGCTGCTCGTGTCGCTGTTGCCCGCCGTCTCCGTGTCCCAGGCGTTGGGACCGCCGTCGTCGTCTTCGTCGTCGTCCCCGCTGTTGGGGTTGCCGCTCTGGCTACTGTTGTCGTCGCCGTACACCACATGACTGGTTTCGTACGAGTACTTGAAGTGCGGTTCGTCGTCCTTGTAGAACGGCATGTTGTCCCGGATCAGTCCCAGGGCGATTGATAACAAATTGTATTTTTTAAATGTTATTTATTATAATATTATGTACTTGTCGACTACGGTCGGTTCACTCATCGAAAATGTATAAGGGAAATGATTGCCGTATGCCGTTGACGATTGACGATGAGCTACAGACTGAACTCTTTGGCCGTTGAGTGCAACGGTTTTATGTAATGCTAACGGCCGGCGTCGCCGTCACCGGTGTAAGTACACGTGAAGTGCAGACACGTGATACCCGCAATGGACCTGCACGAAGTTTCCGTGTACAATAGTAGTATGCGTGCACGTGGTGGGCCATGTTGTTTGTATAACGGCTCCACGGTGGCTGTCACGCGGCAGGGCTGAAAAGCGCGCACCCATAAAAACGTAGGCGTTGTTCCATTACGATTTCCTCAGTTGCACCTTACCGGTCGGTCCGGTCGTCGTCATTATTACAATAATATCACTTATCAAACCATATCGATATCTTCTATACTTATTTTACTTTCTATAATAATTATATTATACATTCCGTCGCGATTTCTTCCCCACTCACTGTACACACACAACAATATAGTCCAGGTCTGGATTAATGAGAGGGCGGGAGGGGGCGGTTGGCAAGTGACTTGAGCCGAATGATTGTACTTTCTAGTTGTAATCCATTGCTTTTTATATTAATTTCAATAATAGTTTTTAGTTGCTATACATTTTTTTCATACTATTGTTATAAAATATGATCTACATTAAATAATATAATTGCGTTTGTAAAAAGTTTATTATTTAATAAACTGTGAAATACATTTGAATTGATTTTTATTTTCAATAAGGAACTATTTTTTATTAATTTTTAAACAGTTAAATGTTAAATTCTAATAAGATAATTATAAATTTAAAACATGATTTTTATCAATTATTTTTACGTTGCTTTCTGACTTTTTCCATTGTTATTTGTGTACAAACAATAATAAATAATAAATAAAACTAATGAGTTATATTGTATTAATCGCGTACACATTATTGTCTCATAAGCTTAGAAGAACTTTTCAGATTTTGTCATATCGGCTTTATTTTAAAGTAAACATTTTTAAGCAAAATACAGTACAATAATATAAAATGACTTGTTGTGTCCGTTCGACAGCTAATCAATAAATATAAATATATCAATATATTATACGTATTACGTTATTACTTATATTTTATATTTATAATGACAATGTAATCCGACAACCGCAGTAATTTAATATTATAATATGTTAAAAGTTTTCACTAGATTCTCTATCCTAACGCTGTTCGTGGTGTATTCGCCGGAAAACAAACGTTTATGAAAGGAATGATATTGTTTACAATGATATGTATCTTGACGTGTCCACGTGTTTAGTGCGTGCTGACGTTTACGACCTATATGTACGAGCGACATGGTGAGCTGTCTTGACCCTAGTACACGATACTTATAGTATAGTAAGTATCCTGTATCCTTGATCATGGATTCTGCAAAAGCTCTTTAACGTGGAATATTTCAAGAGGCTGGTAATGTATTCAACCCTAAGAACATAATTAAAAACACATGTTTCTCAAATAAAGTAAACATTTCAACGAACATTAATTACTTTACAATTTACCGTCTACTTAATACAGGGTTATCTATATAACATAGAACACTCATTTTCTCGAAAAATAATTACAATTTTATAGTTTTTTTTATTTTGAAAACATTTTTATTTATGTTTTTGTACAATATTACCAGTTTTGAATAATTACTTTTATATTTATTAGAGATTAAAATTTAGAGCGAGAGTTGAAGTACGGTTGATTAATGCATACGGATAAAAACAATAATTCACTGCACCCTTCTCTACGTCCTATAAACTTAAAACTTTAATAACTTTAAAAAAAATTATTCAAAAATGGTTACCGACCAGTCAAAATGTTCAGCAAACTATTCTTATATTAAATAGTTAATTAATTATATATGTTCCCAATTCCCAATTAAGTTTCAAAAATTGATAGCGCTCTGGAAAATACTAAAAAGGTGAAAAATTGATAATTTTAAATATTAATACTATCAATATATTCAAAATATAAAGTATTAGCAATATAAGCTCTTGAAGGTCGACAAAACATCTTACATGTGTTCCTTTTACACTTCAAATGTATTTCTTGTCATAAAATCTTAACACAAAACTAATATAATTTTACCTATTGTTACATGATTAATTCTACAAAATATTAGTTACACTTTATAATAAGCACTAGAGAAAATACACTTTACTACTCAAACTCAGTTGACTCTATCAAGTTAAACATCGTCGAGGTTTAAAAATAGTGACAACTAATACTTTTTTTGACAGAAATAAAAGTTTTTAACAGGCCCACATTTAATCAAAATTATGTTAAATTTACTTGGTAATTAACCAAAAAAAAATTGCGAATCTAATTATTTTACTTTTTTAGTAAACAATAGACAAGCTGTGGCAGAAATGACAGCCAAACGAGTAGGTTTTGACCACATCGACGCATTTAACGTTTCAAATTATAAAACTTTAAGTCTTCCCAATAAGTAATAAGTGGTTTAAAATATATAGTTTGTCTCACTTTGCTGAAATTGAATCAATGACGCAAATAAAGACAGGGCTAGAACCCAAAACTACAAAAAAAAAAACATTAAATAATTATTTTAGCCACTATATTACAATTACAGGTTCATTCGAAAAATAAATAAATAAAAAAAGTAGCTTTTATTAATTATAAAATAATTTATCTAATTAATATTTGTTACTAGTGATGGAAATACACGGAAAAAATACATAGTTGGACCAACTAAAATTATGATAAGAATAAAGACACAATATATTTATAGTTGGAATAACTATACGTATCGTGGTCCTATATTAACCATAATTTTTATTGGTCCAACAATATATTGTTTTCCGTGTATGTGGATTTAGATAGACAGAATTAGGAGCATTTAATTAAGATTTGTTTTATCTAAATTAAGCCATACAAATATTATTTTAAACAAATGAACGTTATTAACTTGGATTAAAAATTAATTGTCATTAAAAATTCCTTAATATATATACTATACCTAATACATTATTTTTTAAATAACTATCTTGTTTTTAATTTAAGCTATTCGTATATTGTTTAAGTGTTTATAAATCGTAGCGATTTATTTTGTTGTTGGCGACTTTAACGCTATTTATGACGTAACGCTGAAAATAAAAATTATATTGATCGTTGAAAAAATACCAAACTATTAGTAAAAGTATTAATTGCCATTAATTAAAAGTACAAAAAATAAAATTTGTATACAAAACATAACCAGTAACTAGAAATTAATAATTATAGATTATACAGATAGTCTAAAAAGTACCCCATGTAGTGAATATGATATCCAGTAGGTGTATGCCAAACTTCAATAAAAACTGCGAACGTGTAATATTTCAGGTGCGAAACCTTAGGACTTTTCTAGTAGTAGTTAAGAGTCAATGAAAACCCCTATTAAACAAGTAACTATAGATTAATCATAATCTAGTGTCAAATAAAACTATTCACGAAACTATTATTAAATTTTTTTAACTTTTTAATATATCCAGTCTTCAATCTGCGCATACATGTTCATTATTCAAGTCGTTCATGAAAACGAACTAATCTAAACTATATATATTAAAATCTATATATGATTTTGTTCCTTAAAGACTATATCTTAATTGAATATAAGTATATTTCATACTAGGTATTTTAAAAATATTTAAGATACCTATTTAGGTATTAAGCAAGTGAGAAATAGCAAAAATGTATTTCTTATTAATAATATTATAATACTTAGTGATCATAGTATGTTCTTTACAATAATAAAAATAGTTTATTTACCTAGCATAACCATCGTTTGTTACAATTTATGCGTTCTCGTGTTAAGAATTGGTTCCCATAAAATATTCATGTCGGTGTCAACAAATAGTTACTATGGCTACCCGCAATATGGTCAATATAGGTATACAAAGATTGTTGACCTCGCATATAGCAAATACCTAAGAACGACGAATATTGTGTTTCGGTGTAGCCATTTTTCTTTATTGTAGCCATAAGAAATAATAATAAAATTGTATTGTTATTGTGAGGTTATTAAATTGCTAAGATGTACATTACATGCACGGTTTTTTGTGTGATGTGAATTTTTTTTTATTCAAAATAATGTTGGTAAAATCCATGTCGCTAGTTGAATTGAAAAAACAACAATGGGCAAAGGAAAAAGGTATTTGTGGTTTTGTTATTCATATGTAGCATATTATAATTAACACAGCCGTAGTTAATTATTACATAATTGAATGTGTGTTATACACAGAAGAACTTGGGAAATTAAATAATTATTGGAGAAATCAAAAGTCGTCCGTTATTTTTGACGATCAACGGTAAAGTAAATCATAATAATCCGTCTAATTAATCATATTTGCTAATACTTACATGTTTAACACTGTATGTTGAATAAAAAATATTACTTTTCATACAATATGTATTAAACGGAAGTACCTCGCTTTACGCTTATGACTTAACCTAAGCGATAAGGGAGGAACCTCCATTAAAGAATGTACCTAATTTTTTTATGAATGTGATACAATCATATCAGGAGTCCAGAAAGGCAATTCAGTGCAAATGAGCGTCGTTTTGACTTGAACTATGATAATCAAATAGATAGGAATTTGAGTTTTCCTCCAATTTCGCATGACTGTCAGACACAAAACATACAAAACGTAAACTTCTAAAATTAATTAAAATTCAAACTTGATTTTATCATTATAGTGCTCATTTATTGGCACGTTTTTTTGTTTCTTAAACATACAGAATAGCACGTTACACCCTATCCATAAGATCGACAAAGAACAACTCAATGAAAACCACATTAAGGGAATCATGGACGACTTTAAACCAAAAACCACTCATACCATGTATGCAAGTCTATTTTGAAAATAAATTCTTAGTAACAATAATTGTCACTAATTAAAATATAAATCCAATTCAAAGACTAAACCGAACTTACACGATTGCAAAAGAGAATGGTCTCAATGATGGTCCGCAAGAAAGACAGAAATGGGATAGGCAATATATTTTAAACCATAATACTGAATTCAATATGCAAAATCTCACTGAGCACGAACGCAGGTACATGATCAACGAAAACAACAGATTTGGAACACCAGCTTGGGTAGAACACTCATCAGATAGAGTGTAAGTAAACTTAATAACAATATGGAGTCTAACTGAAAATGGAAAACTTTTATTTAAACGTTTTAAATTTAATATTTATAAAAAAACAATATTAACAACAATAAGTATAACCTTTAAATGAAATGTAAAAAACATTTTTTTTATAAACAGATTATCAGGTCAAAAAATCCAAACCGAAGATGTTCGGAAAACCTCAGATTTCAAAGGCAGTTGTGATACATTGAGCTCTTTGGATTCAACTAATATAAATAACAGGTACCAATATACATTTTTTTTATTGAAATATGGTAAAAACAATTTATCTCGACAATTCTAATAATACACTTGATCACACTTGACTTACTTGACTCACTGGATGTTTGACTTTTAACACTGGTCACTTTTGCGCACAGGACCTATTTATTGGGACAAAACGTTCCATTGACAACCGAGGAATTGGCCAACAGAGAAATCAAAAGACATAAAGCTCTTGAACTACAAGAAGCGATAAAACAACAGGTTGTAGTGTAAAAAAAAATATAACTAATTAACGTGACATGGTTAATAATTAACATGTTTTTTTTTAAATTAAAGTTAAAAGAACGTCAAATGAAAAAAAGAGAAGAAATCGAAAGAAAAAAGCAAGAAGACTTAGCCGAAGAACGGAGGATAAAAAGACAACAAGAAATCGAAAAAAAACGTCTTGAAGATGAAATAAAAAGGCAGAAAGAAAAAGAAGTAAATTTCCATTGAATCATCCTTATTTTGAAGTTAGCCACGAAAATTAGCAAAAACAAATTTCATTAAAAACAATTTTTTTATCTTTTATTAACATTATAGAGATTTTTAAACTAAAATCGAATCATGAAAAAACATGTTCGCCCTCCACGCTGAATAAATTCGTGTCACTAATTTATCGATTTCATTTGGAAACATAGGCCATTGGGTTTACTTAATTTTTTTCCGATAAAATGTAATAGTTCTGTGTTTGTTCAAATTAAACTGATAACATTTTGGTTTAAACTTTCAGCTTTGTGATGAACGAAAAGCAAAAGCCATGCAAGAAGTCCTCGAAAATGCTCAAAAACAAGCGAAAGAAGACAAATCAAAGCATATGCAAAAGAAAAGACAGGCGGTGGACGAAGTTAAGCAACAAATACCAGAAACTGTAGTAACCCCTGTAATTACTACGGTCGAAAAAAACAGTGTCCCTCAAGCTGACCCTGAACCGCAACCGATATGTCTTTCCGAGGAGACTATTCCCAAAGAGACTGTTCCGAAATTACCAGAAGTTGACTTGCAGACTTCGCCAGCAAAATTAAACCGTCAAAAACTGTTAACGCCCAGCAAATACCGATCGCAGACTGCCAGCATCGCCACTCAAACAGACGAATCTAAGTATACTTATAACAATAACATTAATGGTGTTCTGTTATTTAAGCTATATTTCAATTGTATAAGAAAATACCTTTTCAACTTCGCACAGAAAATCAAATTGATTTTAACAGTATCGAACATTTTCCATAATACCACTCAGACAAATAAGATCTAAATCACCCTATCCTAATAGTCCTAATTAATAACATCCCCCCAACGTCCTTAGTCCTATAAGTTTACACTTATTGACATGGACTCAATCGTCTGAAAAATAAAACTGTTTCGAAAGGGAAGGTTAAGTTTTTAAAGGGGTTTAAAGGTGTATTTACAAAGTCTATTACATCCATTCATGTTATAATGGTAATGGTATGTTTATTCAAATCATTTCAGGAGGCCAAAAGCAACAAGAACGGTTTATCAGAAATCTATTGAACTGGAAAAAAGACCGAAATGGGGTGTAAACAGACCAGAAGTACAGTACGTCAAGCAAAGCGCAAAGGATCCCAATTATCAGATGAAGTTAAAACAAAAGTCCACGTGGAACGGACGAACCGGTAGCGTTAGCTCGGGCAAAAGTCAGTCGGACACGCCGTCAACAGCTCAGACAAAGTAGTATCTAAACAAGTTTTTAATAGTTGTTAACGGTATCGTGCGAGTACTTACACCGTGGTATAATTATTTTCTCAGTTTCATGGTATTGGAGAATGGCGGTAAACATAGTTCGAAAAATATGTCCGCATACAGTCGACCGAATTTTGCAGGTAGAAGATAAAAAAAAAACAAATCTTTGATACGTCACCTATAACTTTGTATATTTATAGAAATGAATAATTACAAAAGCGTATCAATTCCTTCCACGTCTGAAAGCATAGCGGTCAGCGATGTGCTTTATCAATTGTCATCATTGCGCAAAGTGAGGAAATGACTTTCTAGAATATTATGTTTTTTCCATACAATTGCATTGTTTCTACTTCAGTTCTAGATGATACCTAATAATGGTACCTTTAGCATACAGGACTTAATAGCCTATGATTATAGGTGCGATTTGGGTGCAGCTTAGGTGTGTTTAGCATCCCTAATTTTAAAATTTGCACTTCCAAAATTGCTTGTGTTACTACCATAAGTACTAAGGAAATTGGATTTTCTAATATTTCCAGTGCTTGAACACATCTGCTTATTCAAGCAGGAGCACGCTGAACTTTAACTATCTATTTATAATATGCAAAAAGAACTATTATAACTTTTTTATAATAAATATCTATATTTTTACAGGTGTTAGAAACAAAGAGAAAACACTGGAAAAGTGTCATTACTGATGAATCACCGTCATCTGACTCGTCATGATTTATTAATTTATAACCAGAAATTGCTAGTCCACAGTCAATAACTAATCGTAACTAACTCCTCACGTCTCTAAATATTTAGAGACTACATTAATTAACAACTCTACTTTAAATTTGGGCATCAGTTTGGTAACCCAAGAAAAAATATCAAATTTTAATCAACAAACCATTATTTATTTACATTAGTATGTGTTCCATTCAGATTGTATTTCCATAAGATTGTAACAATCTACATTTAAATAATGTTTACATACTAATTGAGTTTAAGCTCTTAAAAATACTACGTAGGTCGTAGGCACACCTATGTGCTGTACAAGTACTTAAATCGATTTTTGATTATTACAGCTTTAATACAGTTCAAAAGCAAGCTTTAAAATCGTAAAGTTTTATTTGAGTTCATATTTTATATACTTTTTTGTACTTAAACATTATTACTTTTGTGTATTTTATTTAAACTGTCAACATTTGTGTTTAGATATCTAAGCTTAGTTATAAGTAATTAATCGAATACATTTTAAAATGTTGTTTTTATATTTATGTAAAATAGTATCGATCTAACTTGAATATTAATATCTACCTACTCAAATTATCAATCGTTGATTAATTATTATTATATGATTTAAACTTTAAAACGTCCTTACCTACTTTGTACAATTTAATAAACAATAAATGTATACCTATTGTAATTTTCTGTTATAATAACTTCAATTAAAACCGGCGAAAATTAGTGTAGGTGCCATACTTATCAGTACTTATATAAAACCCGATTTATAGCTGAATACGTTTAATGCTGTTCTGTTTTTTACTTGTTTTAATAGATACTTATTTTTGATGTTGAACTTTAGTGTTGGTATTTATTTTACACAAATACATAATAAATATATATATATATATATATATATATTTATATATGTGTGTGTGTGTATGTATATTTAATTAATAAGAAGCTTGTATAAAGTGTTTCACAATTTGAATATTTATCCTAATGCTATAATATATTACATGTACCTACAATCATTTTAATTCTTAACACACGTTTAAAAAAAAAAGTTGTATATTCTTATGTGGCCCACACATTACCATTTAAGTATCTACCGGTCCTAAAGGTGTTGTCCATATCCATTGCTCAATTATTGTAATCACTTTGTTTCGACTTTTGCACCTAGGAAATTTTGTATCAGAAAATAATTTCCCTCGTATCATAGGTTCATTAGGTGAACATAGGCCACAATTACAAATTGTTTTTATTATTTTTACTAATACGAATAATTGATGTGTTAACAGGTATACGACGAAACTAAAGGAAGACTTGTAAAGAATAATAGTGTATAAGTTTGAACAATCGAAAAGCTGCGGGAAGACGACCATCACTATAAATGGCTTCCCAGATCGAAGAATTTCTGGCGAAAAAAAAAGAACAAACCACACTATTAGACTTACATAATTGCACCGCCAGTTCAAAAGAAGACCTTAGGAAACTCGTTGAAAAAGTCCCGGAATTCAAGATAAAACCAGAAAAAGTAAAATATTCCCTGTTTTTTAACTGAATGAATTGTGGGCGTATGTATTACATCGTGGAAGTTTGCTTGTTAGGTATTTGATTTATGTAAGATGACGTCAACTGTTGATGAACTATTTTTTAAAGAGTTAGATAATGGCAATTTTTTGCAAAATCTTAAATTAATGGTTAAACTGTGATGTGTTATAAATTATTAGTTCAGTAATTAGGACTCTATTTTTTTGGAAGTTAATTTATTTTTCGGGCTATCTCGGCATACTCGACAGTGATTTAAAAAAATATATACATCTAAACATGAAAAAAGTACCCTTCAAAGTGATTTTAAAAATAAAATTATAATTAAAAAAAAAGGAAAACAAGATTTCTGAGGGAATCTCGTTTGCGTTTTGCATTAAGTATCTAAAATGCATAGGTCATTATGACTAATGCATAAAATAAATTTTTCAAATGTTTGTAACGTTTTTTTTTCTTGTTGATAAACGTTTTTTAAAAACGTTAAGCCAATTTCCTTTAGAATTCGTGTCCTCTGCATTTTTTATTATAGGTGTTATATTCCTAGAATCACATTTAAAGATACCTACCTACTTTTATCTTTTTTGCGCAAAAATGTTTTTACCGTTGAAAATTATCGATGTTCCATTCTTTTATTGGTTAAGTAATTATAAAGGCAAATGCAAAGTAAAATTGTACTAGCTGTAGATCATAAGATATACCTACTATAATGACATAATTATGATTTATGTAATGATTATGTACTTGTTCTAGAAAGTCGACGATATCAAAATAAGAGAAAAGAAATTCAAATTCAAATTGCCGAAAAAAGAACACATAAGAAAATTTCCGTTTTCTGAACCAACGCCAACGGAAATGCAACCCGTTTCTTTAGAAGAGTTATACTCGGTCAACATCCAGTGGAAAATGCTAACTTCATTGCGGCCAAAATCGAAAGTAGACGAGGAATATTTTACGAGGTAGACTAGAAAAATCGTTTTGCCTACTTACACGACGTGACAATGTATAGATTTTGTTTTCTTATTTGAAATATTACACTTACACATACTTCATTCAAAAGAGCGCGTTTTTCGCCGAAAGCATCCTAATAAGAGGAAAAAATAGGTGGTATTATTTTTTAAAGAGTTAATTATAGGGAATTTTTAATGAAGCTTGATATTCAGCTAAACGTGTTCCGTTGTTTGCTATTATTGTAGCAAAAAGAAATCCATATCGGTATTTAACATCTGTTTTGAAATATTAAATCGCAGTGATGTCGATGCATTATTGTACAAAAACAAGTCACAAGAGATGTATTTTTTTGAGCAACTGAGTAGGTAGCCGATTTTCGATTACGTCATTAGAAACCTAGTTATAGGACACAGAATTTTGAATTTGGTCCAAAGTATTTAAAATTTTATTTGATTCTGACTTTATTAAATATCGCCATTGACAAAATCTAGATAAAATCTTGATCTTATGTGTTTTTACGTTAAATCTGCTTAGTTCTTCAGAAAAGTGCATCTTCTGAGACACGTTTGTATTACACACGAATAAAGTGACGTGACGCCTTTTCAACAGTTCACCAGTGTTAACGTTTACCCAAAATTTGTTTCCATCTAAAAAATAATAGTAAATTACTCAAGCACTCCAACCCGGGACTTTATTATGAGGAAATCTTAATTGATCATTACAATTAGGTGTTATTATACCAGAATTTGCACAGGCTTGTATAGACTTCCGGTCGAGTATGGAATAACCATAGAGGCAACTGGCTCTCTATAATTTTTTTTGTTGGGTTTACATTACATTAACGTGCATTAAATAATGTTGTTTTTACAGGCAAGTGGAATTAGGTACGGACACGCTGAAAACCAGACAAATGGAAAGGAAAATTCCTCGGGAGACTTTTTTACGAAGAAAGAAAAATGCATCAGGAGGTGTAGAAGCTAGATTTTTATCTTGCAAGGAGTGCGGTGTTGAGTTCTGTACTGGAGAAAACTGTAAAGTATTTGAATACGACTCCTTTAAAAGAATTTTAATAACTACGATACAATCGGCGACGACTGAGCAAACCCACGAGCCGGGGACTCAAGAAAAAAAATCGCCCAAAAAAAAATTTGGAGGATCCAAAGCAAAAACAAATACTGGTAACAACACGGCCAAAGTTGTCTCAAAGAAATCTTTGATAAAAGAAGAAAATAAAATAATCAGCGTTAAAACCAATCCAAAAAATGTTACAGTAAATGTCAAAAAAGGCGGCAATTTAGCCAGAAAAACAAATCCCGGCCAAAATTCTCCAGTAAAAATGGTTAAAACGAGTAAAAACGATACGAAAAGAAAAAAATAACCATAATTTATACTACAATAGTAATGGGTTGTGAATTTAACGTAACATTTTTAAAAAAAAAAGTTCTCTGTACTGTAAAAAGCTTAACATGAAATTAATACTCCAATCCCAAGAATCAATTTGGCTCACATCGCCTAAATATTGTTTCACTAAGCAAAATATTTGGCTTTTATTTTGAACATTGTTCATCAAACTTTAGTACATATTAGTAAGTATTGTAACGCCTATTAGTTAACATGTGTAACAAAAAATATTTTATTATCTACATTTCATTTTTAATACCTATAAGAACCGATTGTTTTTATAAATATTTTTTATTTGTTTGTCAAATTTATAAACATTTTGTTAACAAGCGAATTACCCCTACCTGCATTTTTCTTAACAAAGCTATTCACTTTATATACATACTCTATTATAAGTACTTTATTTAAATAATTAAAGGTAATACGTTTAAGATTTTATTTAACAATTCAAAAAAATGTATACATTAATTGTTATACATTTTTATGAATATAATAAATCAATAATTCAATTTCTATGTAAAAATAAAATATACAATATATACAATTTTACAATGTGATATTCATATTGTAAATAATAATATTATTCGTATTGCGTTTGTTTTTTATTAAATGCTTTATCAAACTAAACTCTTCAAAGTGTTGTGTAATATTGTTATATGCTAATATCCCACAATCTTTAAGTATGAAAAATAATATTTGTTATATACTACTATTGTCTATTGTGTCCAATAACAACCTGTATGAGGACCTCCTAAATCATAACAAATGTATACACACATATAAATAATTTATTACAATAGTTACAATAATTTACACATACATATGTATACAAATAAAAAAGACCAAAAATTATACATAAATACATGCACAAATACCATCTTTATAAAAATAATAATATTTATAGAGTGGCCAATATTCTTGTAAAACCAACAGCAGCAGAGAGGAGTGTTTGCCCGACTCCCCAAAACATGGCATATAACGGTTGCATTGTAATACTTGAACATCGGTAGACAAAAGCTATTGTGGCACTGCTAACAATTCCTGAGCTAAGAGGAGCAAGTATACCAACTAATAAAATAAATAGGGGAAAAAACCTAAAACACAAATTGTTGTATTAAAATCACTTTCGTATTTAAACATAACTTTTTACCTACGGTAATTCTAACAAAATATTTAAGTTAAATAAATTACTTAGAGAAAATTATAGGTTAGTGTTGTACTAATTAAAGTATATTATAATAGAATCTTTATAAATAAATATTTTGTTTTTTAAGCTTATTGCCATCCATTCTATTGATTGCTTTCTCCTCCTCTTTATACAAATTAATATTTTTAATTTTGATTAAATTTTGTTAAATTCAATTAAAATAAAGGTGCTGTAAAACAATATGTACATGACAACCTTGTACATTATATAAAAATTAAGATTTTTTTCTTTCATCAGACATTGACAAACAAAATATATTTAAAATAGTAAGAAAAAAATTAAATTTATTTTGCTAATTTAAAAATGTTAAATAATTAAATTAAGTGTTCTTACTTTCCAAAATTATGTTTGTGAAGGGTTGCAAATGCAATGATCGCAGCGACAGTATGGACAACAGTTGAAGAAAATAATGCCCATAAAAACGTCTGATACCACATTTCTAAATACAGTCAAATGTAAATAATTACTATAACTTTTTTTAAAAGTAATAAAATTATTTGTATTAAAGTGGGTAATTAAATGTCAGTGATATTACCTGGAAATGTAATGAGTGGTTTTTGGGATGCTAATCCTAATACATTACTAATTGGAACAAGTTCCGGGTTTTCAAAATCATTTAGAGGCATCATTTTAATTTAAAATTGAATTTAAAAATCAAACATTCAAAAATAATAATAATTTCGTAACATTATTTTAATTAATAAAACTAAATATTATTTAGAGACTAGAGTTGAATACTTGAATGTTTACCTTGGCGGAATCAGAATTGAAATAATATTGATAAAAACTGAAATGATAAAAGAAAATCAAGACATTTGATAAATTGATAACACAGTCAACTGATAATAATTACACAGAATAACTGTGATAATAATACCGATTACCTTTTAATTTTTATTGTTGATTTTAACTGTATTCTGTAGTTTACTTCACTACTGTTAAATTTCAATAGAAATTACTCATTATAGAGTATAGACAAGGCAAGAGTTGACAATTAATACATATTTCTTTATACCCGTTAGATTGATATTGTATACTTACGAACTTACGAAAATCTAATAATGAATTTCCAAGATTGTTCCGATAGTGACGATAGTAATGATATGGATTACAAACCTCCAGGTATAAAATTAGTTAATTCAAAATTAAAATTGGTATTATCTAATTATACAGTTTTGTAATGATTTTTTAGTTCAATATTATTCAATAGCTCTTGATATTTCACATTTCAAATATAGATTAATAAGAGTACAATAAACATGTTAATATTCTTTACAATTTTTAATGATATCGATGATTGTTATTTTTAAATAGGAGAGGAGGAAAATTTATCTGAAGTTGAGTCGGATGATCCTATTGACGAAGAGGATTCTTCAGAAAAAACAACATCTCGATCTAAGGCAATTTCTAAAAAACGAACAAAGGGAAATAAGGGATCTCAAAAAAAAACTAAACTTAGGTAATGTATAGTTTTATTGTTTTTAATTTTGTTTTGTATTTAAAATTTATATTGAATTGAAGCAATAACAGTAAAGTTTACTAATCGATTTTCAAATCGAACAAAACAATACTGTTGACTGTCTCAAAAATATTATGTTAGAGTGGTATAGGGATTGCGTTAGAGGTACTAGGTACAATTTCTGCATTAATTCGAACCAGTTGTTCTCTCCCATCCTCTTACAATCTGCAATTCTGTTTCTTTGTGAGAACGTCACAAAAATACCTGAAAAAAATATGTCATGACTTTGCTGTTTATTGATTTTTTTTCTCTGTCTTAACTTCAATAAGAACTGATGGTTATCTTATAATTGTAGTGAATACTTTACTTAAGTAATTCTAAATCTTTATTCCTTTTAATAATACTGATATTTTAAACTAATTAAATATCTCTCTTAAAAAAATAAATATTTCCTCATGTTTTTTGCACTAAGATACCATAAATATAATATTGATATGACATTTTCACAATGTTTTGACATACTTTATAAATTAATTTAAAAATATTTTTGCAGAGATAAAAAATATGAAGTTACAGAAGAGCCGTTTGAGGAAACAAATCCTGCATTAGATAAATCTGAGGAAGAAAAAAAGCGTTTAGATGCTTTGTGGGAAGGTACTAAAGTTTGTTAATTTTTTGGATTCTTAATATGAATTACAATAAGAATTATCTATAATTTATATGTATCGTTATTAGATTTTCAACGACCTGCTGTGAAAAAATCAACTTCTAATAAACCTAATGCAAATGAAGACAAATCTAAATCAAAGGAACCTGTGAAATCATCTAAAAAACCTGATGCAACCAAAAAAAGAGATTTTGAAGAAATGTTTGAAAACCCATCATCTGCAAACAAGTAATTTACTTTTTATAAAGTAATAGATTTAATTATTTGCTATTATAGTTATATAGATGTATATATAATAAAAGTGCACACATTTTGACAATTGAAAGTTTATTATTTGATTATGATTTTGTGTGCTTAACTATTGTAACTATATTATGTAATCCTTAGTACAATTTTTAGGCTGTTAATCGATTAATATTTTATACTAGTAATATTTTTTTTCCAGAATCGAAACAAGTTCTAGTATTGACGTACAACAAAATGAATCTGAACCATCAACAAAACCTTCAATTCCTGTATTTAAAAAAACAGGTGGTTTGGCAAGTGTATTAGGTCAAATTGGTAAAAAAGATAAACTGACAGTCTTAGAAAAGTCCAAAAAAGATTGGGATAGTTATAAACAAAAGGAAGGTATTGTCGAAGAATTAGTGACGCATAACAAAGGGAAAGACGGGTAAGAATTGTTATTTATTATTCAGTAATCTTACAATAATTTAAAAATATATATTAAACATTTTTGTTTTTCAGGTACTTAGAAAAACAAGACTTTTTAGAACGTACTGATTTACGGCAATTTGAATTGGAAAAAGCCATGAGATCTGCTAATAGATCACATAGAAATTAGTCGGTATAGTGATATTAGATTTAATTTGTTTTCAATTTGTACGAGTTTCATAAAAGATGTGTCTGCTTCCACTTTTTTTTTAAACTATATGTAGAAATATTGGAATTTTACATGGTTTATTTACCTATAACTCATATAAATATTCATTGATATTTAAGACTTTTTTTAAGAATAAAAATATTAATAATTATATCAATGAAACCGTAGATTTAATTTTTGCTTCAAATATTATAGATTTAAGACCTACTGGAGTGTTTAATATAACGCAAAAAAAAGAAATACTAATATTGTTAGTTATAATCGTATGTATTGAAAACATAATTTTAATAAAAAAAAAAAATAACAATGTTATAAAATTAATATTTGTATTATGATCTGACAAAATAATAATAGTAAAATTTACCAGTGATTTAAATAATGGTGTCATTTTCATCGACAATTGCTTGAAAAAACCAGTTATTATAGTTTAACCTGGTAATAAATTGATTTAATTTAGGAGCTGTACTTACATTAACATCCTTAATACTATTTAGCAGTGATGAAAGTTTATTTGGTTTTTTGCTGAAGAGTAAATTTAATTCATTCAGACTTTGTTTGTACTGCGGGCTGAAAGCAGCCGTAATATCAGTCATAAATCTATAATAGTTTTCACACATATCCATTATCTGATTAAATGCCATGTATACGTCTTCTATGAATAAAAACGAATCCCTCATGATATTAGATTGAAATTTATCGTGTGTATACTTAATAGTTGTAAAATCTTGAGCGTTGGACAGTTTTTCTAAAAACAAGAAGTATTCATCTTCAATTACATCAAGCTGTAGATAACTGTATAGAGTGTCAATCAAAAATGTCAATCTGGTTTTGAGATGATTAACTGGCTCGTTTATCTTGCTATCTTTAGATTTAGTTTCAATCCAAATGTTGTGCAAATTAGTTTGTACTTGCTTAATACGTGCTAAAAAAGCAAATAATTTTGAATAATTTTTCATTGTAGATTCTGTGAAAATAAACTGCAAAGGCCATTTAGTTTCCATGGACAGTTTAATTTTTGTCCACTTGACATCACCAGCTTCTTGATTTTCTAATGTACTGAATTTAAACGCTCTATAAACAGATTTTGGTAATTTTGTATCTTGTGCTGAATTAAGAAACGCCAACTTCACAGATCGCAAACTGTGTACAGATCTTAAAGATAAACTTCCTAATTTACTCAAGAAATGTCTATAAAATTCACCGTTTCCCAGCAAATAAAAATCTCTCACTAATTTCATATGATTGTAAAAACTATTTTCATTAAACGATGCCTTCATCAAATATTCGTCAACTACATTAAAGAACTTATCGATTACATCTGTAAACTCATTTTTTGTAAATAAGGGTACATTTTCCAACGCCAATAAATCTTGAAACAACTGATCTCTCTTTTGTCCATATAGCTCGTGAGAAATATTTTTGTATTCCGTTGGACACTGCTCTCCATACGAATTTTGTAAACTCCTGATTACTTCACCCATGCGAATTATTTTGTTAGCAACTGATAGTGAAATGAAAGATGGCATTAAATTAGGTATTAATGAAAAACGTTTAAATTCCTTTGTGCTTCCATAACATTGTTCTTCGATAAAAAACTCTTTGCAAGGATCGAAAATAACTCCATGCGATAAAATTGTTTTTAACTGCATAATAAGTACCTGTAAGAAATCATTATAAAAATACAAATCACAACAATTATTTACACAATTAAATATTATAATTAAATAACATATAAATTTGCGTATTGGCAAGGCGTAAGTCTAAGTCGGAGAGACAATTAAAAATCGTAAAACTCATCGCTTCGGTCTACACCGCTGAATTGGAATTATTACTTATTAAATAAAACATCAAAATTATAAGATTTTTAACTCAAAACCCTAAACTCAAGAAATATCTTAAAATTTAATGAAATTATACTTTATAAAGTCTTGTGGTTATAAATTTTAATCTAGTACGTGTGGTATTTTTTTGTACATTTACCTGTAAACATTGTTTGAATATTAAGGAAAGTTGTACTCTGTCATTAATGAACTTGGTATTTATTACATCATATATGAGATTTAATATTTCTCCTCCGTGCTGTTTGGATAGTGTGATTTTGTCTACAATATCCTTTAATGTGACAAGTAAAGGTTTGTGTTCTTCAACTTTTCTGAGTACTTCGAAAAGTATACATCGGTTTTCTTTATTAGTAGATAAACCTTTTTCAATGTCAGTAATACAAGTGCGATAATTGCGTGTGGCAAGAAATATTCCGTTTTTTAATGCTTTAAAGTATAGACCTTCTTTTTCTTGACACGGTGCTGTGTGTTTAGTAGCTAAGCTATTGTCGGACATAACAAAATCATTTAGATATTTGTAATTATCAGCCAGAGAGCTGAAACGTATCAATAATTCACGTTCTTCGGTGGAAATTATATTATACTCATCATCCCAAATAATATCTGCTGCATTTTTTAAGATGCTAGAATTATAGCCTAAAAGTGCATATAGAATTTCGGGAACCAAGTCTCCAGATCCATTTAGCATTTTAAATTGACTTCTTAAAGACTACAAAATAAAAACAAATACTTATATGTTATTTAATTTTATGACGGTCAATTTTTAGAGTTACTATGACATACCTATTTTACAAAACAAAACTACAAAAAAAATTCACTATCGTTGTAAAAACAGAAATGAGGAACTATTAATTTAAGTTTAAAAATAATTTGTGTATAAGTTAGGAATAACCGTTTATTTTTAAGACGACTGAATAATTAATAATTATTAATTAATAATGATAATATTTTAAACAACATATTTTATTATTTTCATTTGAGATAAGACAATGTATTTGTTGATAACATGATGTTCAATTTAAAAAAAAACCGTTGTTCGTTTATCAGCGTATATTTTGTTATCATTGAAATTAAAAAAAATAAATAACTTTTCTCGATGATAATTAATAAATAATAATTATTATAGGAATCATCATAGACGCAATTTGAGAGTGCCTTGGGTGAGCTTAGCAGTTACCACTCCCACTTTCAAGATTAGCTGTCCTAAAATTGATTATGTTTCCTACTATAAGTTGTACGAAAGAAAGGAACTTATTATAATTCACTTAAAATATTTTTGGTGTTTAGACAAAGCCTTTTTTTAGTAAAATTGCACCCCTGAGAATCGAAATTCTGGACCATTAGATCTAGAATGGTAGGGATTTAAAGATATATAGGTTTCTTTAACCCGTGGATTCAGTATTAAGTAATATTATGCGTTAGAAATTAGAATACATTTAGTTTCTTTGATATTAACCGAAATCTTATCAGTGATTATTTGTTTTAAAACATTTAACCTATCTGTGTATTTATTTTATTAGTACAATATATATTATCTAAAATTATTTAACTATAAAAACAGCGCGTGTACAATTTATTTCTTCTTGTTTTCTATGCTAATCATCCTTTAGCACTCTTGTGATTTGAAGCTTGACTCTTAAGCCTATGCCTTAGACCTGGGACGGGATTAAAAAAGGGTCTGATTCATGTTACTTGTTTACAGTATTACTAGTGTTTTCAAGCACTGTTTCGTGTGATTAATGTTATTAAAATTAAAGAATAACCATACACTGAAATTATCTTTAGATATATATATATATATATATATATATGTGATAAGTAGCCAAAGATTTATTTTATAGGTAGATGATAAAAAATTAAATATGCAATTTCAATAGGTAATATGGTATAAGAATACGAGTAGGTAGTTATCCCACTTCATAGTAATAACTAATACGAAATAAAAATATGTGATATTAACTGAGGTCTCAGACTACTGACTTCGTGTTTATCATGCGTTTAACGATGTGCTGACAACTAATGGTAACTCAAAACGGTTCTTTACAAAATAAATGAATACAGAATACATTTTTCTACAATACGGAATACCTAATACTTACTAAAAAGAAACCCATATAATCAACATTATTATAGTTAAGAAAGTATCAAGTAGTTCTAATTGTTTATGTTTATGTATGGTGAGTCATAAAACATTTTGTATAATAATTTATACATAAATGGGTTATGCGTGGGAAAAATTATTGAATACGCGTCAAGAGTGGGATATTAGATATGCATACACAAGTGTTGTAATCGTAGGATAGGATTTTTGGTAGAATATTCAATATAATTTCATAACTGTTCTGACTTACAATATGGTCAAATTTTAAAAAAATCGTTTAAAACTATTGTAACGCCTTCAAGCGTAACATGACTATGTGATATCTATAGCTCTATACACCTAGTTGCTAGAAGACTACTATATAGTCTAATGTCCAAAGGCGCAAAGCTGTTAAATCAATAAATAATAATATTAATCATACTTGTCTGATACGATTGATTTTTTTTTGAATAAGTACAAACAATGGAAAGTTAAACAAGTTTCTACAGTTATTTGGAGGTGTCCGTTTATAGATATAATAGCTAAAAAAAATTTAAGTTCTAAAAGGCGATCGATGAATGTGAATCTTTATATATGCCTTAAAAATTAATTGACCGACCTAAAGACACGAAATCGTATAACAAATGTAATTTTTTATAGGTGACTTGCTACTTGTTGAATTAACTTTTATAATTTTTTTATTTCGGATTTAACTTATAATAATTAATATTATATTGATAGAGATAAATGACTAGAAATTATACGATTAATATAGTAAATTATGTTACCAAGTACTAACGAATTATCGCTGGAATTGATTAACACACATTGAATTGTAGGTCCCACTTATTTATCATTGTGTAAATAAGTGCTTCAATATAATACAAATTTAAAAACAAATACTAAAATTGTGTGACTTTATTAGCGTTTGTCATTTGTCCATAAATTTGTTTTTATAATAATGTTTTCATAAATGTGTTGAATAATAAATTACAAGTAGTATACACGTTGTTAATGGCTTATGGCATAACTCCCTATATTTCGTGATAAATTAATTTTTTTTAAACGGTGACTTGGTGAAAACATTTGAACCCTCTCAAAAAATCATTATACTTTCTAGTTTCTACCCTCCCCTCTTATTACTGAACTAAATATTATATTATCCAGACTTCGGTTCAGTGTCTTTTATAAGAGGTATACATACAACTTAATTGTACTTTCCTCTTTTTCAAAATAAACATTTTTTTATCACTTTAAGCACAGTTTAGATTTAAGCGTACCTATTCAGTGTTGGTTAACAAAAATTAAAATTGTATTCAGTATTTTTTTTTATTAATTTTCGGGTGCAACTTGGCCGTGTTCGCGTTTATAATATCGTGGGCTCGCGGTATGTCGTTGGCCGTACAATTCGTACAGTGTGGCCGTGAACGATTTTCTCGGGCCGTTATCACGGTGTTGTCGATACGGCGAGGGCGTAAGGTAAGGCGAGTCCGTCGTGAAAAAGTCCGTTAAGAATTTCAAGCCACGCCTTATCAACATAATTGAAATTCAAACGAAGAACGACTGGAAAAAAAGGCGAAACGCATAAAATCGTTGTAGGTATCCGCTTTAAAAGCTTTTCGACACGCGACTTTCGATTGACAGTTGTATAACATCATGTTCAATTTTCAACCTCAACTACGACAAAATAAACAATTCGTTTTATCATAATTTATGATTTAAATATTTTGGCTGGTAATTGGTGGGGCGTGCGCGGTGCGCGCCACCTGGTCGAGTGTAGTTGGGCCGACCGACAGACCTTGTGTACAGCGGGCCGCGGGCCGTTTTGAATTTTACCCGCAACGGTGATCGTTATTTCCCCCCACCACCGCGCCCGTCCGCTCACAGTGCGTGTGAGAAAAGAGGAGTGAAATAAAACCGTTCAAAAACGAATCGACGTTCGGTGAAATCACACAAGAGATAATTTTTCGTGTTTTTTTTTTTTTATCGTCGAAGACCCGAGTACGGAGTATCGGGTACGCTATAATATTACCAGATACCGTACGCCATCGTGTCGTCCTCATACGGTGTAATCGTACCTTTACCTACGATACCGTCTCAATTCATCATTGGTTTTTTTATCGTGCCGCGTCTTGACTCTTGAGGTGTTCTTCTTGACGACGGTTTCAAAGACTGCACACAACGTGGTATGGATCCGTCGGCCTTTGTTCGCCGCCTCTACTCGCATATGTTGCCAGTTGGTTATCACTAGTAGTACCTAGTTAACGGTTTTGCAGGTATCGTCAACAACCGTCGTCGCCGTTGCCCGCAAACGGATAATATATATATTTTTTTGAGTTTTCCCATCGCGACGAATATACTAACATTGTAAAAATGCAAGTAGAAGACGGTTATTTCGATGGCATCAATTTGAAACTGGCCATGGACATCAAAATCAAACGTACAGACGGTAAGTGATGAATTATATAAATACTGGCGTTACGACAATAACCGTTGGGCTTTTCCCCGTCGCGGTTGGCTTTTGCCTGTCCCGCGTTTGTCTAGCCTAGCTGATGTTTAATTTTGTTTTTCATTAAATTTGATACAATTTTTTCAAAAACCGTTTCTGTGATAATATCAAGTTTTCCACAATATCCTTATTATTAACTTTGCACTAAAGTCGAAAGTGTGTGTTATCTATAGTATTTGCGACAGGGTTAAATACTTAAATATTTACAAATCTGAAGTCTGACGGACTACAATTTTACTATACAAGTAATACTAAAAAACATTTAATTTCACCAAATCGCGTTAAGCATTATCAACATATGTTAAACTTTAAGCTGTGTTGGCTGGTTTAAAGCTAAACGATGTTGGAAATTTGAGATGAAGTTTAGTTTGTATAGGGATTTGTTACAAGGTATTATAACTACTATTATATAACAGGTACTATTGTTATACCATTTGTTATAGTATGGATTTAGATACCAACATATTATGTATGAGTCCCTTATCATCTTTAAACCGACTTATTTGATTCAGGCTGAACGCCTAATTCCCCGTAGACTGAAATAATTTTTTATTCGCAACTGATGTATCAATGTAATTTAAATTTGGTAAATTATACTTGTAGTAGAGATGACTAAATGCTGAACTGCTTTGACTAAATTTTACTGTATGGCCTTTAAATTAGTGAGACCCAATTTACACGCTTCATTTACTAATTGGGTACTTCATCATTCAATTTTTATTTGTCATATCAAATATAGACATTTTTAAATCTAATTAGTATGATAAATTCTATCTAGCATCATTTACCTTTTACAGTTAATGTACTGTAAGTTGCATTTGTTTGACACTAAAATATTGTCCTAATATCATAATAAAGTATGGTTTGTGATTCCTGTAATTATTATATAAGAAATTTTGCATTTAATCCAAGTTTTCTTAATTTTATTTATCATAGAAAATGCCCAATACTATAATATAGTACACTATATTATGATGTATCAACATATCCGTAGGTACTGATAAGAATCTTGGTTTGCAAAATTTGCATGTGTGTAACTTAGCTCAGCACACAGGCTTTGAAAGCACTTAGAACTAATGATTCTAAAATAAGTTAGCTCATCAGGAAAAAAATTCATGTGCAATGGTGATTTTCATGTTTTTAAAATGTATAATAGATAAATGGACATAATATTATGTAATCTCAATGGTTGGGTATCTTATTGGTGTGAACATATCTGGTATTTAACTACACTGAATTATATTATTATAATAGATTATTTCTTGTTATTACTTATTACTTGTTTGAGTTTTATGATTTTATAACTTAAGATTTGGAGTATCATTAATTTGGTTGTAACAAATATATGTGATAAAAATAAAAAAAAATATTGTTTTAGTTTAAAATTCAATTAATTACTGCATTTCAGTTAATTAATTGAATTTTGTGTTATATTCATTTATTATTATTACATACTTAATTGAGAAGTTTTTTTTAGTTTCTATTATTTTTAAGAGCACTAGACCATTGAGATCTTATTATCTTGTACATTTAAATAAAAAGAAGCAATCCAACAAATTAATGATTATTATATTTTTAGAATTACAACTTTTGTAATAGGTATAAGTTTTTAACTTATTTATTTTTACAATTTGAATAATTTTTCTATTATCTATCTAGACTAGAGTATACTACCTAGAAATATTGGTGTTCGATTCTTTGTTTATGGTTTCTTGTACCAAAAGGTATAACACACACAATTTTTCAGAGTGAAAAATTACACTTATCTTTTTAGTTTTGGTTTATGTAAATTATTAATTATTATTAAATGTAAACTTAAAATGATAAAAAAATGATTGGTATGCACCAAATATAAATTTTAAAAATATGATAAAATTGTATTACTGTGAAACTCGGTGTGCGAGTGAGGTTTTCATGCTATATAACACCATAGTCATGTTGAAGGTTTGTGCATAATAACTTTTTTATTGTGCACGCACTAATATTCCGAGCTGATGCACTCTTAGGGTGAAATTTTGAAAATTAAGTTTTATCTATCTTTTTTTAATCTAACCAAATATGTGACACTTAATCTAATGTTTGAATTTTTCATCACTATTCTGAAAACTAATGGAGATAAACCTTTAAAATATATAACATAAAATAGTAGCTTTTGAAAACTATATTACTATATGAAAGTATGTAGACATTGTTTATTTTTCATTGGCCCGACTATAGAAATACATTAAGCCGGTTAAAACTGCCACGCATAACATTCACAAATGTTTATCATTTATATGGGTTTTTGTGCACGTGGATTTGTACGTTTCCACGAACATTTTATTTGTATTTGATGTTTCCCATAGAGAACCGAAAATTTCAGTGGAGATGTCCGCTAACGTTTTGCGTGGCAGTGTGGACCCAGCTTTAGCATTAACTATTTATTCGTGATTAACAGCTTTTTTCAATATGTTTATTATCTTATTTAACTTGAACCTAACTTATGTAATAAAGTAAAATAAAAATAAATTGTTACTGCTGTATAGTTTGTATAATATAATATACATTATACCTATTCTTATAATTTTGTTATCTAAAACATTAAATTGTTGTGTTCTTACTAACATACTACATAGTTATTATAGCTTTGGACTCATAATATAGATTCTTTCGACAGCTTTTTAAGTAGCTCTTATACAAAAGTTGTTTACTTATAGACTGGATACTAATAAAATAAAAATAATTTGTACAATAACATAGCACCTATATCTTCAAATTATAATTTCAAACTGCATTAATTTACCTAACTTTCTTTTGACTTTCCATTCGAATTGTAAAAAAGTATTTGGTGAAAAATACAATGATAAACCTAATGGATGATCATCATATTAATTTATAACACAAACTCAAATTATTTAGTATTATAAAAATGTATAGATATATAACAATAATATTTTTATATTATACAACATTTTTGTTTTTTTACAAATATTTTCCATATTAAAAATTATGTAGGTTTATATCGGTTTTGAAAAAAATAATATATCAAATGAACCGATATAGGTAATATTGGATGATAGTGGACATATGCCGATGCATATGTCGATTTTTGATTACAAATTGTATTTGTCTCTCTTTAAATTTAAAACAAATTTAAAAACATTTTTAAACAATATTTTATTAAGCAGATTCAAATTTACAATACCATAATAAATTTAAACAATATTTAAGTTTTTATACAGATATTAAGGTAAACTAATAACTTCACTAAAATAGTTCTGATAATAATGACTAATTTTTTTTTCTTTATATTTATCTCAAGTGGTACTGGAATACACATAAATTATGTAGACCACATTGGTATGATAAACCTATTTTAAATAATATACTTATTGGTAATTACTAATTTTTTGGAAATAATCCTAGTGTGTTGATTAAATTATATTATTTATAATTGTTATTGTTATTCGTAATTATTGAAAATATCGAGTTTAAATTAATATTTATTTGTTTATGGCTGAGTCATACTGTACGCGACCCTTTAAATATTGATAAAAGATACCTATAACGATTTGTTAAAATAAATAATAATCGGTAAATGTTTTTCCTTTGGGTGGGTGACGAGACAACAGTTGTTTGACCTTCAGTAGTGTCTTCTGTGGGCGGCCTGACAGTCACGAGACCATATATGGACGTCCAGAAAATGCAGACCAATGTAAGGGCCCCGAGTGTCTACTTGCAATAGGTTTAGTTTTTTTGTCGTTGTAAAAAAACATTGTCTTAATTACAATAATATAATCATTTATTTCATTTCTCTTGAAACAAACGTACAATTTGTATTGGCTAGCACAGAAAGACAATGGTAATATTTGTTTTAAAACGGAACGTGTTGAAAATGGAAATATGTGTAAAATTAAGACTGGGCTATAATTTACAGTTAGTTTCGTTAAAACAAGACGTTTAATGTTTCTGAAAGACTTCAACAATTTTTGATGTGATAGTTAAATGATTTTTGGAGCCTAAAAATAAAGTGTATTCATAACAAATCTAATTAGTTTAAATGCGCGTGTTTACAAAACCAGACGCAATATTGACTGAACGTTTTTAATATTTTATAATTATTGAAATTTATCACAAATTATTTAATAACAATATTGTCTTTGTAGAAGATATGTGTGTAATAAGAAGAGCTATTTATGTGTGTTGTTATCCTGTTACTGGAAAACGAAAGAAAGCGTCAGAATCTACTGTAAACGTTTAACAACATAACCGTTCACTCGCCTATTAGTGTTAGTATTTATGATTAAAACATGAGTTTAAATGAAAACAATGCGTTAAATTCAATTAATTTTTATAGTTTTGTAATTTTTCGTTTTTGGAAACTTCGATTGGCAGATACCTAATGCTGATAGTCAGAAATTTGGGCATTGTTTGTTTAACCGATTACGTGTTAACGTTATAAATAAAATTATTTATAATTTTGAGACATTAACGTGTTTTTAATGAAAAACTTGATAAAATGAAGTCTTGTGGGCCAAATAAATTTGTCAAGTACGACGGCACGATTATAAAAGGAGTATTGTCATGCCCTCTGTATATTGTACAACAGATTACAAACTATATAAAAAAAGTGGTATATAGTAGTATCCTTTTTTAGAGATTCGTATGAATAACAATATTAGTGTGCTATATAATGGTGCACGAGGTTGTTGTGAAATTACTGCCAATATGAATTACCCAATTATATTAAATTCTCATTACAGTCGGATGTAATAAAACATTGTAATACCGCATTAGTTTCCAAAATCGATAAGAAACGGATATTTTTTTCATCTATAAATATTAATCGTATTAAATCATATTGAGTGTTTTTCCATTTATAATTACAATGAGTCAATGTTATTGTTTACACTCTAAAAATAAAATAGACAATTATTTATTTTTGACAAAAATCAGTCGCC